GAGCCCATGTCGAGGGAAAGACTGTCAGTCTTTAACTACAAGGTGTTTTGTATCAGGCCCTGTATGGGGGCAAAGGCAAGAGTTATTTTCTCTACGTCTGTGTCTTCCTGCCCTCTCTCAAAATAACAGTTGTAGACCACATTCCTCTTCTCAATACAGCACTCAACCTCCACATTTCTCCTTACTTTTTTCCATGCACATATGGAGCAAAGTTTGTTATGTGCACTCATTTTGGATGACGAGTAGAGAATAATGCCCAGATATAATATCGATGTTGAACAGGCTGCATCGGGTAACTTTCAGAACTCACGACTCACAGAATTCAATTTGAACAATAACATCATGAAGCCGATAGACACGTACTTAAAACTGCAGTAAGAGCAGTCAGGCTGTATAGAAACCATCTAGGCCATGCGTCGAGGCACACCACCACTGCTAGTATGTGCTGGAAGATGACTGTGAAAGAGACAGAATGAATTTGAGTCAGAGATACAGAAAGAGGTTATGACTAGACTGACATGATTTTCCGCAAATGCTTTTAACGGAAAAGTTTTTCCGTTAAAAGCATTTGCAGAAAAGAGCGTCTAGATTGGCACGGATGCTTTTGCGCAAAAGCACTTTTTGTGGAAAAGCATCCGTGCCAATCTAGACACGGTTTTGCGCAAGAAAACCCCGATCGCCATTTTCGCCATCGGGGCTTTTTTGCGCAAAACACTTTTTAGCTGTGTACACTGGCCCTCTTGCGCAAGTACATTTGCGCAAGAGGGCTTTTTTCCAAACGGGAGCAGCATAGTATTTGCACAAGAATACTGACAATCTTACATGAGATCGTCCGTGTTCTTGCGCAAATTCAAGCGGCCAGTGTAGACAGCTGGCACGTTTTTCCGCAAAAGCATTTGCTTTTGCGGAAAAACTTGCCAGTCTAGATGCAGCCAGAGTGTTTATGATTGATGGTTTGCCGTCTCTTTAAGGCACTCACCCTAGAAATCTAAGATGTTGGCTACTGAGGTTTGTCACCCATCCTCTGGTCTACGGAGATGGGGTATATGTCTAGACAGTAGATGAGAGATGGGAAAACTTGAGAACAGTGATTACTTGCTTCCTCCCATTCTCCACAGCAAGGTCTTAGAGAAGCTGGCCAGAGGTTCCAAGGCAGACGCAGACACAACGCAGCTGTGGAGCCACGGACGGAGGGTACCCAGGCACACGCCAACCCGCGATACTCTGACGGTCAGTGTGCGGCAATTGATTCACTCCCTTGCAAGCCTCATACTGTGGGAGAAGAAACCCATCATTCTCTTAGCAAACAAGAGGGCAGGTGCAAGTTATCCCATCGGGCATCAAAGTGGGGATTTTGAAAGGGTAGGTGTCCAATTCCCTTTGCCATTCAAAGGCTGTTGGGTGCCCAACTCCCTTAGTTTCCTTTAAAAATTACAACTCATGTCAACTCAACAAGGAGGTTGAAACTTTGTTTATGTGGCAGGTTGGAGGTCTTCTCCACCTGAATGTGGAGTTCCAGGTCCAAGAACTACATTGACCTGGGAGTTTTAGCCAAGAATTTTTTAACTTGGGAGCATTTCAATTTTCTTCTTCCTATGAGATAGAAGTATTGTCGGTTCCTTTTGTTCTATTATTAAGGCAGATCTACTCAGCTAATGAAGAGATTAGATTTCCAGTAAGATTAGAAGAGCTGTCTGCTTTAATTTCCTTTGAAATGAGACATACCCCTTTTCTATTTCTTTATCCTTTGAGTCAATAGTTCTGCTGTCTGGTATTTTCACTTTGGAATTAGTTGGGTTTTTTTTATACCTTCCCCTTTTGGACTGATAAGAAGACTGCTCTTGATTATTATTTTTTTACATTCTGTAATTAAATAATGACTTTTCCTATGCCATAATTTCCCATTCCCACCAGCAGAAATCAAGGGACATTACATCATCTCATAGGAAGGGGAAATTGCTAACCAGGTGAGAGAAGGAGTAACTCCAAAATACACCAAGAAGCTCTGTAGGATGCAGACACCCAAAGCTCAATTGACTGAGATACTTGAAGACTGTCAATAGAGAAGATAAAGGAAAGTGTAGGGCAAAGTCTAGAATGTTAGCACAGAAAATCTGAAGGACGGGTCAGGGTTAGTTTGCAGCGGGCAATATGTCACGGGTGTGAAAGGGAAAATAGCACATGTAAAATGAACTGCGGTTTTCTGGCATGCTTGGGTATTAGGGCGTTCCAGTTATCTAAAAATTCCAGTTATCTGAGGGTCCCATCAACCTAGGAAAAACCAATGGACAATAATAGTCAAACTCAAGTTTTTAATATTGGTAGTTTTGTAGCGGGAGGCAGTTGGTCTCACATTTCTATTTTGATAAAACAAAAGGAAAAACTATGTAGCACTTTAAAGACTAACAAGATGGTTTATTAGGTGATAAGCTTTCGTGGGCCAGACCCACTTCCTCAGATCACATTCTGAAGGAAATTTGGCATGACCATATATAACAAAGGAATACAAGGAAGAAAGTGAACACATTATAAACTAACAAATCAGATTTTAGAACAGAAGGCAAGGCAAGGGAGACGGAAGGAGGAAATAGCTTATTGTTAGTCAATGAGTGGCTAATTTGGAGTTACTAGGACTATCAATAGGTGGGGAAGCTGTCTTTGTAATGTGTAACGTAATTAGCATCTTTATTAAGGCCCATTCATAGCGTGTACAATTTAAGCATGAATGAAAGTTCAGAAGTTTTTCTCTGTAATGTGGTGTTAACGTCTCTTTGAAATAAGACGCACGTTGTGAAGTCTTCAAGGGAATGCCCAGGTAGATTAAAACGTAGACTAACAGGTTTTGCTCTGTGAAAATGTCTGAGGTCTGATTTGTGGGCATTGATTCTTTGGCGAAGTGACTGAGCAGTCTGTCAATATACATTGCAGAGGGACACTGCTGACACATGATGGCATAAATCACATTGCTGGACGAACAGGAATATGAGTCCTTGATTGTATAATTGACACGGCTAAGTCCAGTGATGGTGTCACCAGAGTAGATATGTGGACAAAGTTAGCAATGAGATTTGTTGTAAGGGAAAGTTCCAGGGTTAGTATTGATGTGGTGTGTCTTGTGGTTGTTAGTAAGTATCGTCCTGAGGTTAGCTGGTTGTCTAAAGGTCTGTCACTCAGAGCCTATCGGAGTGTAGTATCCTGTTCCAGTCTAGGTTGTAGGTTCCTGATAATGCGTTGGACGGGTTTAAGTTGTGGGCTCTAGGTGATGACAAGTGGTGTTCTATTGTTGGTTTGCTTGGGCCTATCTAGAAGTAGCTGATTTCTGGGTATTTATCTGGCTCTTTCAATTTGTTTTTTTTTTATTTCCCCGGTGGGTAATTGAAAAATGCTTGGTAGAGATCTTGAAGTTTTTGGTCTCTGTCAGTGGGCTTGGAGCAGATGCGGTTGTATCTAAGGGCTTGACTATAGATGATGGATCATATGGTGTGTCCAGGATAAAAGCTGGAGGCATGTCGGTAAGTGTAGTAGTCAGTAGGTTTTCTGTAGAGACTGGTATTGATTTTGCCATCAGTGATTTGTACTGTGGTGTCCAGGAAATGGATCTCTCGTGTAGAATGGTCCAGGCTGAGATTGATGGTGGGGTGTAGGTTAAAGTCTCTGTGAAATGCGTCCAGTGTTTCTTGGACATGGGTCCAAATCATAAAGATGTCATCGATGTAACGTAAATAAAGGAGGGATAATAGGGGACGGCATTTGAGGAGGCATTATTCTAAGTCAGCAGTAAGGATGCTAGTGTTCCATGGGGCCATGTGGGTACCCATGGCTGTGCCGCTGATTTGGAGGTATAAGTTGTCCCCAAATTGGATATAATTGTGAGTGGGAACAAAGTTACACAGGTCTGCTACCAGATTAGCTGTGATAACCTCTCGGATAGTGTTTCTAATCGCTTGTAATCCATCTTCAAGTGGAATATTGGATTACTCTATTACTATTTTTATTTTGAGTTAAAGATTATTAGTATTTCTTAAATAAAAAATTGTTAAGCCACTCATGACAAACCAAGCCAGGCCTGTGCACCTGAAGATGTGACAGTACTGTGGCTGGGGGAAATGCCGGTTAACAACGTTTTCTAGTTAACAGAGTGCCGGATAACACAGGTTTCAGTGTACTCGGATTTAGAAAAGTACCTGCTAAGGAATCTGTCGTGTCAGAAAGATTGTGTGTTCAATCCAGTGGGAAAGTAAATACAAATAGTTGGGACATAGAAAATTCTGCCTACGAAAGAGCCATCTCTGGCTCTCAGATTTAGCATATAAGAACAGTCCTACTGGCTCAGACCGAAGGTTCATTTAGGCCTGTGGCCTCTCCCCTGATGGTCGCTAATAGCAGGTGTTCCAAAGGGGATGACTAGAACAGCTGATCATCACGTGACCCATTCCCTGTTACCCGTTCCCAAGTTTTGGCAAACAGAGTGTAGGGCAAGAGTGGGCAAATATTGGCCCCTGGGCCGGATCCAGTGTTGCAGGGTTAGCCCCTGGCAGGCCCCCACACTGCCGGATTTACCTGTGCCTCCGCAGGTACAGGGGATCGCAGCTCCTGTTGACAATGGATCGCTGTTCTCGGCAATTGGGAGCTGATATCGCCTGTACCTGTGGAGGTGTGGATAAATATAGCATCAGCGGCCCACCAGGGCGAGCCACCGCCGTTTAATTGCCCACTGTAAGACAGAATTAGTTCCTGACTAATCCTTACCAATGGACTTACCTTTCCTGAATTTACCTGGCTTACTGGATCCTTCTGTGTGTGTGTTATTTTTCAAACCATCTGTGAGGATTCCCTGTTGTATTCCCTCCCTCTTAGGCACCTGGCATTGGCCACTGTGGGCAGACAGGACGCTGGGCTGGATGAGCCGTTGGTCTGACCCAGTCTGGCTGTTCTTATGATCCTATGAGAGTGTGTATTTCATAATTATTTCCCAGGTTTTTCTTCTCTAGATACGTATTATGGAGAAAGCAGAAAGAAGAAATCAAACAATCATTATGGAATTCATCCTCTTAGGATTTGGGAACGGCCCTGAACTGCAACCCCTCCTCTTCTTGCTGTTTCTAGTGATCTACCTTGTGACTGTGGCCGGGAATATCCTCGTAGTTCTGCTGATAGTGACCGATAAGCACCTCCACACCCCCATGTACTATTTACTGGGGAACTTGTCCTGGTTGGAGACCTGCCTCATCTCCACTTTGCTGCCCAAACTCCTGGCCAGTCTCCTGACTGGGGACAGAACCATCTCGGTGAAGGGTTGCATGGTACAATTGTATTTCTTCGGTATCATGTCGACCGCAGAGTCTCTGCTGCTCACGGCCATGTCCTACGACCGGTATCTAGCGATCTGCCAGCCCCTCCGTTACCCTGTGCTGATGAACGGCCGGGTGTGTTGCCAGCTAGTGGCGGGGTCCTGGATGAGTAGCTTGACAACATGCACCACGGGGATGGTTTTATTGTTGCAGTCGACATTCTGTCATTCTGGAGAGATTGACCATTTCTTTTGTGATTTCTCCCCCATGCTAGAGCTGTCCTGTGATGACTCCCAGACTCTGAAACTGTTGACATTTATTATTGCTATCATGTGGACATTGGTGCCCTGTCTCCTGACCCTGGCGTCCTATACTTGTATCATCAGCAACATCTTGAAAATCCCTTCCACCTCTGGCAGGAAAAAGGCCTTTTCCACCTGCTCCTCTCACCTCATTATGCTCACCATTTTCTATGTGACCGTGACTACGGTCTATATGGTTCCCACAGCCAACACTCCCAAGATCCTAAGCAAAGTATTCTCTGTCTTCTACACGGTCCTGACTCCCCTGCTCAACCCTATTGTGTACTGCCTGCGAAACAAGGAGGTGAACGAATCCCTGAAGAAACTAATTTTTAAGCTGGTTGCTTTCTGAACCAGTCATAGAATCTTACACACAAATGTTAACGTACATTGAAATAGAGATGATCAGAGATTTCTTTTCTATGGCCCATTTGAGTCCTTGAGAACAACATGATTTCTTTCTTTGTTTCTTTCTTTGTTTCTTTCTTTCTTTCTCTCACTTTTGGAGCATTCTTGATACATTTAATACACATAAGATACTTTCTTTATGCAAAGTGGGCTTTTTAATTACTAGTTTCATTAAAGCTCTCTGCTTCATTGCTTAGTCCATGGACACCACGACCATCTCTTTTCGATCATGCCTCTGAAAATCAGATGGGAGAAGTTGCCTTTCCAGTAAGTGAAGAATTCTAGGTGGCATTTTATACAGATCTGTAACTCTGTAAACAAAAACATTAAAGTCGGTATAGGGTTGGGCGTCTCAGTTTCCTGCCATGTGGAAAGTTCTGCCTGTCATACATCTTAGTAGGGTCAAGGGCACATTAAAATATTCATATCTCTATTGATTCAGGTATCAATACGGATATCAATACAAGTATATGAAATGCAGACAGAAAATGTCCAGCCACAATTTTCAAAGCTCAGAGGACTCAACTTCCTTCCTCACATCCAAATCGAGAAATGAAAGAGTTAACATGAAATGAATGCCAAGCGTCAATGGTGTTCCTCGCCCCAGACAGAAATGCGTTTTACGCACAGAAATATTTCTCGCCCGTGTTTGACAAAAAATGAGTTAAAAATAAAATCGCATTGAGACTCCCTGCTGGGTTTGTTCTTCCAAATTTTTTGGCCCTGTTACATGCCAGAAATATCATTGTTCCCCTGACCACCACCCCAACCTCCTGCTGTCCCCTGATGCAGGGCCAGAACGGGCTGGACAGAGGGAAATATATATATGTTGTGGTTTCATGTGTCAGGCTTTGTTTGGGTGAGTAGTTGATTTGGTGACTCCAGAATGATTCCTGTGCTTCACCACCCACCCAGGGAAATAGTTTGTCCTACTAGATCTCCCCTACTGCAACTTGAGACCATTGCTCCTTGTTCTACCATCTGCCACCACTGAGACCAGTATCTCTCCATCCTCTTTGGAACCCGTCTTTGGGACGTTGCAGGCTGCTCTCAAATCCCCCCTCACTCTTCTCTTCTACAGACTAAACAAACCCAACTCCCTCAGCCTTTCCTCATAGGGCATGTGCTCCAGCCCCCTCATCATTTTGGTTGCTGTCCGCTGGACCCTCTCCAATGCAGCCACATCCTTTCTGTAACAAAGGGCCCATAATCCAGTTGTGGCCTCTGCAGTGCTGAATAAAGGGGAATAATCACTTCTCCAGATCTGCTGGCAATGCTCCTCCTAATGCAACCCAAAAGGCCATTAACCTATTTGGCTACAGGGAAACACACATCTCAACTACGAGGAGTCCTGTGGCACCTTATAGACTAACTGAAGTGTAGGAGCATAAGCTTTCGTGGGCAAAGACCCACTTCGTCAGACATGCATCTGACGAAGTGGGTCTTTGCCCACGAAAGCTTATGCTCCTACACTTCAGTTAGTCTATAAGGTGCCACAGGACTCCTCGTCGCTTTTGCAGATTCAGACTAACATGGCTACCCCTCTGATACTTGACACATCTCAACTGAGCATCGTAACCACTGAGCTAAAAGTGCGAGCTAGTCCCTTCTTCCACCCCAACCTTTGGTGTGAGCTCATCTACCAGGTTGGTCCTTTGGGTGAGTTAGGTGGAAGGAATCCTGTGAAGTGAGTGTCCTGACATCTGGTCTGAGGCTTTGCCTGCCCTTGGATAGAAAACTAAGCATCCTAGGGAATTTGACTGCGAAGAGGAAGTTGTTAGGTGAGTTTAGATGCCTACAGAGCTTGTGAGCAACTGAGTAGTGGCTGAGACCCGATGTCATGGCTCCTTCCCCACTCTGGCACGATAAATGCATAAGTGGGGGCCCGCAAAAGTACCCCAAAGCCTTATCCACCAGGCTTTGGTATAAAACTTTCCCCAAAATCTTAACAACCTAGATTTTGGGGATAAATTCTCCACTGTCACTACCCAAATATTAATAAAGCAACCAGGAAAAGACTACTTGGGAAATCTCACTTCTAAAGTACGAACCAGGATGCCAAAATTAACCAATACCAGGTTAATAAAAAGAAAAGAGACAGAACTTTTATTATCACCACCATATTCCTGTTGCAAGCATAGTGACTAGATGGAACAGTCACAAAATAATATACTCATGGAGGAGAAATTCACCATGGGCCAGGAACTTAGCATATGTCTAGACTACATGCCTCTGTTGCCAGAGGCATGTAAATTAGACTACCCAAAATGGTCAATGACGCCAGGTTTTAAATATCCCCAGCTTCATTAAAATAAAAATGGCCGCCGTGCTATGCCGGTTCAGCTGATCATCGGCACAGCACGAGTCAAGACACGGATCGGTTGAGAAGGGAAGCTTTTGTTGACTGCTCCTGTAAACCTCGTTTTACGAGGCATAAGGGAGTGGTCGACAAAGGCTTCCCTTGTCGACCGATCCGCGTCTTGACTCGCACGCTGTGCCAATCGCTGGACAAAAACTGCCCGAACAAAGGAGGGAAAAAACCCCAAAATTCCTTTGTCACAGTTTGAAATTCCTACCTACATTCCTATTGGCCACTCCACCTGGCGTAGGTGTAGTTAACCCCTTAGTCCCCAGGCTGCTAGCTAACCCTTAAACCTCATGATCATAACACCTGATAATGAGCTTTAGGCGCCTATGGTGGTTAGAAGTTCAAATCCATATTTTGCATCTCACTCCCTGCTGCTTTGAAAATCTCACTACTTCCAATCCGCCTCTTTCGGCAAATGAGTAGCAATAAAACTCTGGCTCTGAGTTTTTTGGAATTAAACTCAAAGGGCTCTGTGACTGGGCACCACCCCCTCCGGTGCGCCACAAGTGACTTCATCCCTGGTGCAGCCCTGCCTCCACCCGGGTTGACAGTGCATGCTCGCGCCTCTCTCAGCCATGCCCGTTTTCCCTTCCCCTGGCCCGGTACCTTCCTAGGCCGGCGTCAGCTTGCCAGCCTCCTTGTCGGAGTCCCTCGGCCCGGTGGGGTCTTCTGGCGGGGTTGTACGTGCCAGCAGCGCCCCTACTGGCTCCGGTGCAGGAGTGCAGAGCCCGGTGGCTCTGTCGCACTGGGCCAGTCCATCCCTGCATTAGGGTATGCCTAATGCAGACTTGGTGGGCGCACATAAATGCTCCTGCGGGTGCCATGGTACCCGCAGGCACCGCCTTGGGGACCACAGCTCTAGACCTTTCTTTATTCCTGTTGCTGTTCTCCAGACCTTCTCCAATTTCTCCACATCTTCCCTGACATGTGGGACCCAGAACTGGACACAGTTCTCCAACTGAGGCCTGAGTAGAGCGGAAGAATGACTTCTCACAACACTCCTGTTCATGCCTCCCCGAATCATGTTGGCTTTTTTTTTTTTGCAACAGTGTCACACTGTTGACACTTATTTAACTCGTGGTCGTCCGTCCCCCCAGATCCCTTTCTGCAGGACTCCTTCCTACACAGTCACTTCCCGTTCTATACGTGTGACACTTAGGCTGACCCTCTGTCCTCTTTTTAATGGGACAGCTTATTAAGAGAAATGGACAGACTGTCCCGTATATTCTAAGGATATGATTATAGAAGACGTATGTATTTTCTGCAAGATGGGTTACATCGTGTGTCCTTTGAACGTTATGATTTGTGGGAGATGATTATCGTATGAAATGCATGTGTCATTTTTTAAATCTAAAGGTATGCATATTTACTAGGCATCTGCATTTCCAATGCCACACCACCTGATTCATTCCCACTAGGTAAGATGCTCGCAGTGCGGAGAGTTGTTTGTGAAGGGCCTATTCAGGCTAATGAGGCTTTTGGGAAAACACTCGTCCTTAGGAGAAACGTATCTCTGGCCTGGTGAGCCTGGTTGTTGTGACTCTCCAACAGCAGGGGACCAGGCCCCGTGTCCCTAGACTCCATCTGGGGACATCTGTGTTTTTCCACACACTGGTCTGGGAGCCAGGGTTAGAGACAAAGGGTTCCCACCTTAGCCTACAGCTATATAGGGCAGGTAGTGATCTCATCGGTTCTACTTCACTCCCCAGGCAAGAGGACTACAAACACTGACCTACCAAGGAGAAGTGCTGGACCCAGGCGAAAGGGATTTCAACCCCGTGCATGGAAATTTGAGAGACCCAAGCAGCAAAGGAAATGCAGCTCGTGTCTTGAGAATCTGCCAGTTTGCTGGTATCGTCAATCAGGGTGAGAAAGTGCTCTTGAATTGTTAGTCTAAAGAAAGCATTACACATCCTTTGCGTTTGTGTGTATTTCCTGGTAATCTTCTCCGATCTGTTGCCTACCACTTATACTTACGTAAAATCAACCCTTTGTGGTTAATAAACTTGTTTGTAGTTTAACCTAAACCAGTGTGCCTTGCCGTGACGTGTCGGGGGAAGATCTCTGGGTAGTACAAGTGGGCATGGCCCTCTCCACGTTGAAGGAGAGGGGAACTAGGTAAGAAAGTCCTACAGCTCGGTGTTTTCCGAAGGCTTCGGTTGTGCAGTACTGCTGACCCAAGCTGGGGAATTGGTGGCTATCATTACCGTAGTTTCTCGGTTGTTGGTTCATGCAGAGATTGGTCTGAGATCCAGTGTGTACCTGGATCTGGTTGCGTCCCTCCCTGTGTGAATGTTGGAAAACTGTCGGATTAGCCGCGAGACTGCAGCTTCCCACAGCAGCACAGCACGAAAGGGAGCCCAGATGGGTGCATCAGAGGTTTCAGTGGTATTTGAGTTCCATGTCACATCCAAGGAAACCCATCCCTCGTGGGCTATAGAAAAGCAGGCCTAAGAAAGAGCAGGGAATGTCCCTCAAAATTAGAACATAAGAATGGTCAAACTGGGTGAGACCAAAGTTCCATCTAGCCCAGAATCCTCTCTTCCAACACAAACCAACACCAGCGGCTCAGGAGGAAATGAACACAACAAGTAACCATGAAATCATCCATTCCCTGTAACCTGCTCCCGTCTGTCCTCTAGCTCAGAATTACTCGCTGAGAGTAGTGAGCTTGATGGACATTATTATTTTGACTGTGGAAGACATTTTATAACGAGCCAAGGTGGGTGACGTGATTTACTCGACAATTCATCAACACTAAGCCTCACGGTATTAACTGAAAAGAGAACGCTGTCTCTTGGTCTGGTTTGTGCATGTCACCTAATCAATACTTCCCTGTGAGTCAATTTCCCATCCCCAACCAGCCTTCTACTGGATAAGGTGTCATCCTATAAGTAGAGAGAAAATAGGGCACGCACATTTTTAGCTCACTGTGGTCGCGCACTGTATCGTCTTGGATCTGATACTCATGAGCCAAATCCAAAGTCCTTTGCAGTGAAGGGAAAGACTCCTCTAAGGGGCAGTCAGTGGATTTTTGTGACATTCCCCAGATGGGGCAAAGGCAACAGTTATTTTCTCTGAAGTTGATATTGGATCGCATATTGTCTGGTCACTCTCATTATAAAGGGTGTGTCTAAACTACATGGCTCCGTCGACGTGAAACCTGGTTTCACAAGGCATACCTGTGCCGGTCAATAAAGGCTTCCCTGTCAACTGCGGCACGTCCAGACTGCCCCGATCTGCCGACAAACAGCTGATGATCAGCTGGTCGGCAGAGCGCAGCAGACATTTAAATTTAAATAAAGCCACGGTTATTTAAATTGCGGCTTCATTTCCCTCTGCCGATCAGCCTAATCTACATGGCTCCATCTACATGGCTCCATCCACACCCAAACAAACCACATTCATCTTCCACAATACAGAGATCCATCTCCAATTTTCCCATCCCATATTCACCGCATACTTCCTCCAACCATTTTCCCATCCTTCTGCAGAACGAAGTTTGTTCTATGCACAGTTAGCAAGGTAACATGCAGATCTATGTCCCCAGTCGAAACAATATATATTTTAAATTTACTGGAAGGATAAACACTCCCTGTCCACTTTGAAGAACATCCAGCCAAAACCTCAAAAAGTAAGAGCAAAATGTTTTTTAAATACATCAGAAGCAGGAAGCTGGCTAAACAACCAGTGAGGCCACTGGATGATTGAGATGCACTCAGACACGGTAAGTTCATTGTTGAGAAATTAATATTCTTTGCTTGGGTCTTCATAGCTGAGGCTGTGAGGGAGATTCCCAAACCTGAGACATTCTTTTTAGGTGAGAAATCCATGGAATGGTCCCCAACCATGGTGTCATTAGAAGAGGTTTTGGATCCTTGGCTATTTTTGTGAAGAGAATATTGAGAGCAAGTCAGACCATAGGGTACTAACGTGGGGATTTTCAAGAGAGCCTATAAAGGCTAGGATCCCAAATGAATGAGATATTCAAGGTTAGTCGGGCACCGAATTCCCTCAGGCTCTTTAAAAAATCACAGTTGCACTTGTGCAAACCCATGTAAAGCTGATGCAAAACACACTGCTACGAGCTGGGGACCAACCGGCTAAGTAGGAATTCAGCAGAAATGGCCCTGGGGATTCTAGTGCATGAGAAGCTGGAGATGAGTGAAGAGGGAGCCCTTGTAGCCAAAAAGGCTAATGGCATATTCCGTTGCATTAGGAGAAGCATTCTCAACAGATCTAGAGAAGTGATTATTCCCCTTTATTCGGCTCTGGGGAGGCCACACCTGGAGTATTGCGTCCAGTTCTGGGCCCCAGACTATAGAAAGGATGTGGACGGATAGGAGAGGATCTAATTGAGGGCGATGAAAATGATTCAGGGGCTGGAGCACATGACCTATGAGGAGAGGCTGAGAGATTTGGGCTTCTTTAGTCTGCAGAAGAGAAGAGTGAGGGGGGATTTGAGAGCAGCCTACAACTTCTTGAAGGGGGGTTCCAAAGAGGCTGGAGAGAGGCTGTTCTCAATGGTAGCAGATGGCAGAATGAGGAGCAATGGTCTCAAGATGCCATGAGGGAGGTGTAGGTTGGAGATGAGGAAAAACGCTTTCCCTAGGGGGTAGGGAAGCACTTGGATGGGTTCCCTAGGGAGGGGGTGGAATCTCCATCCCTAGACGTGTTTCAGTCCCGGCTTCACCAAGCCCTGGCTGGGATGATTGAGTTGAGTTGGTCATGCTTCGGGTAGGGGGTTGGACTTAATGCCTCCTGAAGTCTCTTCCTGCCCAGGAGTTCTATGATTGTGTAACTAAGATAAGAACTGGGGGGCTGTGTCTACACTGGGCCACTTATTCCGGAAAAGCAGCCGCTTTTCTGGAATAACTTGCCAGCTGTCTACACTGGCCACTTGCTTTTCTGGAAAAGCAATGACGATCTACTGTAAAATTGTCAGTGTTTTTCCAGAAAAACTATGCTGCTCCCATTCGGGCAAAAGTACTTTTCCGGAAAAACTGTTCCAGAAAAGGGCCAGTGTAGACAGCACAGTAGTCTTTTCTGCAAAAAAGCCCCGATTGCGAAAATGACGATCGGGGTTTTTTTCTGGAAAAGCGCGTCTACATTGGCCATGGATGCTTTTCTGGAAAAAGTGCTTTTCCAGAAAAGCATCCTGCCAATTTAGACGCGATTTTTTCGGAAATACTTATAACGGAAAACTGTTCCGTTTTAAGCATTTCCGGAAAAGGGTGCCAGCATAGACGTAGCTAGGGTGTATATCTGCTGTGATACAGGACAGCTGTGTCTGCAGTCAGGAAAACCACAGCCTCTTGGGTATGTCAGTTTGTGCATGATAGAGCATGTGTTCTGCATCTAGGCAGTGCGATTTCCTGCTCCGGGAGAGCCACACACACAATCTCTTGAGCTCAAAATAGCAGTGCGGCCCCAGCAGCTCAGACTAGTTAGTCTGATGGGCCAATCTCATGTGAGATCCTAGGGACTGAGACAGGTGGCTCTTCGAAGTAACTGCCTGAGCTGCTATGTTCACACAGGTAATTTTATCCTCTTCACTGGAGGAAATCTAGGAGATGTCTGTCTACCCAAGCGGAGAATTTCACTTCTCACGGGTAGAAGTAACCAGGGGTGAACTCAAAAAGTCTTGCCCTTCCATTCTAGTGATTTTTATTATCTCTTTTCCATTTGCTGATCTGACCCTAATAGGAAGAAAATATTTGTATCCTCCAGCCTATAGGTCTGCATTTCATGTTTACAAGACGTTAAGGGAGTTAGATGGGACCTTTCTGTAATACCATCGGGTTCCATGCGCCTGGTTCACGTCCATTGGAAGTCCGACCCATTTACTACTCGAGTCTGTCACTGTTTAAAGACAACTTGATGTTTCTAGTGGAAAGATGCGGTGGTGGGCAGTCCACTACGCCAGTTCGCAGACAGTGTAACTGACGTCACAATCTGCCTACAATTACTCCCTCAATAGTTCATGGATTTCTTTTCCTAGCTACAGACGATGGAGAAAGCAGAAGGAAGAAACCGAACACCTATTGCTGAATTTATCCTCCTAGGATTTGGGGATGTCGGCGAACTGCAGCCTCTGCTCTTCCCCGTGTTTCTGTTGATCTACTTTGTGACTGTGGCCGGGAACCTCCTCATCATTGCGCTCATTGTCGCTTATCGGCCCCTTCACACTCCCATGTACTTCTTCCTGGGGAACCTGGCCTGTGTGGAAACTTGCTACAGCTCCACCATCCTGCCCCGGCTGCTGGCCAGTCTCCTGACTGGGGACATGTGGAAACCTGCTACAGCTCCACCATCCTGCCCCGGCTGCTGGCCAGTCTCCTGACTGGGGACAGAACCATCTCTGTTAAGGGCTGCCTGGGGCAATTTTATTGGTTCTCTATCATGGCAACTACAGAACTTTTGCTGCTCACGGCCATGTCATATGATCGATATCTAGCAATATGCCATCCCCTCCGTTATGCTGTTCTGATGAACGGCAGGGTATGTGCCCAGCTCGTGGCAGGGTCCTGGATAAGCGGCATCCTGCTCAGCACCATAGGAAATAGCTTTGTGTTCTCATTATCGTTCTGTGATTTTGGGCTGCACCGTAGTAAATATTTTCATGTGGCAATTAACGTTCTGTGATTCCAATGAAATTGACCATTTCTTTTGTGATATTTCACCCATTTCAAAGCTTACTTATGATGACACCCTGATTCTGTATCTGCTGGCATTTATTGTCGCTGCCCTGTGGACTCTTGTGCCCTGTCTACTGACTCTGGCATCCTACGTTTGTATCATCATCATGATCCTGAGGATCCCTTCCACCACCGGGAGGCAAAAGGCCTTTTCCACCTGCTCCTCCCACCTCATTGTGGTGACACTTTACTATGGGATTGTGATCGCTGTCTATGTGGTGCCAACTGTTAATGCTTCCAACGTCCTTCACAAAACATTCTCCATCTTCTACACAGTCCTGACTCCCATGATCAACCCCATCATCTACTGCCTGAGAAACAAGGAGGTCAAGGATTGTCTGAGAAAAGCCGTTCATAAAGTGGTTGCCCTTAGAAACAGGCTTGGAATCTAAAAGGATAAATTTTAGCAGATGGCTCATCTGAGAGTGTGAGAATAGATTTCCCTTCTTGACCTTCCTTCCTTCCTTCCTTCCTTCCTTCCTTCCTTCCTTCTGCTACATCTAGCCTGCATTGCTTTTTCGGGATACCAGAGGTATCCCGGAAAATCAATACCACATCCAAGAAATGCGTCCACTTTAAAAAAAAATATTTTTAAAAAGTGGACATGCTTTTTCGCCATCCCCGGAAAGCTTGTTCTATGAGGAAAAAGGGATATGCCGAAAGAGCACTTTTTTCTAAAAGTTGGTGCGTGTACACATTCCAAATTCTCAGAAATGCCTCTTTTGAAAGTAAATCGGAAAAAGATACGCAATGTGCGTACTTCAAATTGCGTATGTTTTTTCAATTTAACAGTGCAGTCTAGACGTAGCCTTTCTTCCTTCCACCTACCCACCCACTTTTGGAGCATTCGTCCTTCAAACATTTAACACACATTTCTTCAAGCAACAGATATTACTACAAGAGGCATTCTTCATACTTCATTCTTAAAAAAAGGAATAAGGGATCTTTCGGAAAAGGCTTTATTTTCCGAAAGATCCCCATCTAGACTGGCGCTTTTGGCCGGCAAAGCCCCGAGCTGGAAAAAAGCGGCAGCCATGTTTATGCAAATGAAGCAGGGAAGATTTAAATCCCCACTTCATTTGCAATTGCACTGTGTCTAATTTGCATCCCTTTTATGGAAAAGTCATTTCTTTCATGAAAGCTCTCTGCTTTGTTGCTTAGGACATAGGCACTAGCAACAAATTCTGCAAGAAGCTTAAAATCCTTTGATTGATTCTGGGACTGTTCCACTCCTACTGAGTACAATAATTTCCCCTCTCCACTGTCTCCAGCCATTTGTTTTATATTGCGCCTCTGAAAATCAGACGGGAAAAGTTGCCTCTCCAGTAAGTGGAGAATTCTGAGTGGTATTCTATGCAGATCTGTAACTCCGAAAACAAAAAAAAATTCAAGTCGGTGTAGGGTTGGGTGTGTCAGTTTCCTGCCATGTGGAAAGTTCTGCCTCTTCATATGTCTTTGTAGGGTCGAGGGGACGTTAAAATATTCATATCTCTATTGATTTGAATATCAATATGGATATAGATTCAAGTATGAAATGCAGACTGAAAATGTCCAGCCACAATTTTCATAGCTCCTAGGACTCACCTTCCTTCATCTGACCCAAATCTGTAGAAACAAGAGTTAAAACAAAATGAATGAATTTAAATGTGTAGGAAATGAATACCCCAGAGCTCTAGCTGACTTTGCTGATCTCAGCCTGCTGAGCATCACAGCGGCGTCCCTCACCCTTCACTGAAACGTGCTATCCGCACTGAAATATTTCTCACCCGTGTTGACAAAGAATGAGTTAAAAATAAAATCGCATTGAGTCTCCCTGGGGGCTTTGTTCTTCCCCATTTTTGGGCCCTGATACATTTCCCTGCTTTGCTTAATCACTTAGGGTATGTCTACACAACCCTCCTATTTCGAAGTAGGAGGGTAATGTAGGCATACCACACTTGCAAATGAAGCCCGGGATTTGAATTTCCCGGGCTTCATTTGCATAAGCCGGGCACCGCCATTTTTAAATCCCGGCTGGTTTGAACCCCGTGCCGCGCGGCTACACGCGGCACAAACTAGGTAGTTCGAACTAGGCTTCCTAGTTCGAACTACCGTTACTCCTCGTGGAACATTACATTGTAGCTCCCTGGCCAATATAAAAGTTTGGACTTTAGGAAAAACTTCCTGTCAGGGTGGTTACACGCTGGAATAAATTGCCAACGGAGGTTGCAGAATCTCCATCACTGGAGATATTGAAGAGCAGGTTGGACACACACCTGTCAGGGATGATGGTCTAGATGGTGCTTTGTCCTGTCGGGAGGGCAGAGGACTGGACTTGATGATTTCTCGAGGCTCCTTCCAGGTCTAGTGTTCTATGAAAGTGAGGTGAGTTTAGATGCCTACAGAGCTTGTAAGCAACTGTGTGTAGGTTGAGAGGGTCCTATTGAGACCTGATAATGAGATTTAGGCACCTATTTTGCATCTCACTTCCTGCTGCTTTTGAAAATCTCACTACTCCCGATCTGCCTCTTTCAGCAAATGAATAGCCTTAAAACTCTGGCTCTGAGTTTTTTGGAATTAAACGCAAAGGGCTCTGTGACTGGTCCTCTGGTCCATGGGCCGCACGGATGGGTTAAAACTGTAGCCCAATGCTTCTGTGTTCTCCTTTTGAGTCATGTATTCTTATGATATATTATTGTGAGATGCCAGAGAACTCTGAATGTGCAGACTGCCCCAGTTCTCATGTGAGTTCCGCTGGTGTAAATAGAGAGTAACTCCACTCACTCCAGGGGTGTGTCTTTTATCGGAACCTGGCTCGGTATTTCTGTGATGGAAACACATGAGCTCAGATGCACCCCTGAGGTAACAGCCGTGTAAAGGGAAGGGTTAGAAATTACTAACCAGGGTAGACATTAATTTCTGTGAAAGAAATAACAGAGAAATATGTGAAGAAGTTTTGTAATTTCTAGGCATTGACATAGGAACCCAAAGCTCAGTTAACTGAGAAAATGTGAAGTCTATAAGTAGAAGAAGAAAATGGAGAACACCATGAGAAAACTGTAATTCTGTCTCAAAAAATGAAGGGTGGGTTACGGTTAGAATGCAGATGGCAATAGAGCACCAGTATGAAAGATAAAACAGCACAGTAAAAATGAAATAATCTTGGTTCATGAAGAAAAATACATCCCCCATAAAGAAAGAACAGGTTCTCTTATTTGCTCCCGGTGGAAAGTAAATTAAGGTAGATGTTGCGACACATCACACTATATTCCTCAAAGGGCTTTGATGATGGTGGGATTTTGTGGTTTGGCTCAAGACAGGCAATGTAAGGCGTCGTTGGAAAAGTCATGATTTCCTGAGTGTGCTTTTCCTCTTCGAGCGCAGGTGTCATTTTTGTGTCTGAAGCGCTGAATAGTGACCCTAACATAGTTACGCCTGGTCACTCACAGGAGGGAGGAGACTTGCTGTCTAGATTGTTCTTTGTGAAGGGCCTATTAAGGGTAATGATTCATGAGGGGAAACAATAGGCCTGAGGAGAAGTTTGTCTCCCACATAATGAGCCTTGCTAATGACTCTCCAGAGAGCCTGTAATTAATCGTCGCTTTGGCTTTTCAAGGGCAGGGGAGCAGGCCCCGTGTCTCTGGACTCCATCTTGGCATGTCTGTGTTTTTCCGCACACTGGTCTGGGAACCAAGCTTTGAAACAAAGGGTTCCCGCCCCATGCTAAAGCCATATAAGGCGGGGACTGCGCTCATCGGTCCTTCTTCATTCCCCACACAAGAGGACTCCTGGAAAGAAACCGGGAAACAAACTCTGAACTGAGGGAAGTGCTGGACGCAGGCTAACGGGATATCTAGCCTGTGAAACCTGAGAAACCCAAGCAGCAAAGCAAATGCAGCCTTAAGAATTGGCCGAACAGCTGGTTTCATCACTCAGGGTGAGACATGGCTCCTGCATTGTCAATAGAACCAGGGTGTTTTGCTTTATTTGCATTTTACTGACTCTGCTTTCATCTATTTGCGCTCCCATATTATCCCTTAAAATCTGTTGTTTGCAGATTCTCAGCTTTTTTTTTAGTCTCACCTAAAGTGGTGTGCCTCAGAGTGATGTATCTGGGGGAAAGCTTCAGTCAGATTAACACAAGTGTGCCTCGCCCTCTTCACATTCAGGGCAGGTGAAGCAGGTAACAAATTCGTACTGGTTGGTGTTTTGACCAGGGCACGGCATTTTGCCCATGTACACAGAGCCAGCTTTCTCATTATAGAAGGCAGTCAGGTTGGTCAGGTATGACTTGCCCCGGTGACTCCATGTTGTCTGTTCCTGCCCTTCTAGCATTTCAGAATGAATGTATCAACGGGTACGTCTAGACTACAGGCTTTGGTCGACAGAGACTTTGTCGACAAAGAGCATCTAGATCAGTGGCCCTAATGCATTGCCTGCAGACGCCATGGCCCCCGCCATGGCATTTATGTGTCCCTGCCTAGGCTGTGTCCAGACTCCATGCCTCCGTCGACGGAGGCATGGAGTCTGGACACAGCCTAGGCAGGCACACATAAATGCCATGGCGGGGGCCATGGCGTCTGCAGGCAATGCATTAGGGCCACTGATCTAGATGCTCTTTGTCGACAAAGTCTCTGTCGACCAAAGCCTGTAGTCTAGACGTACCCGTTGATACATTCATTCTGAAATGCTAGAAGGGCAACTTGTGGTCCACTATAACCCCTAGGGTACGTCTAAACTACACGCCTCTGTCGTCAGAGGCATGTAGATTTGTTGTTTTAAAAAGGCAAATGAAGCCGCGATTTAAATGATCGCTGCTTCATTTAAATTTACATGGCTGCTGCGCTGAGCCGACAAACAGCTGATCAGCTGTATGTCTGCTCAGCGCGCTAGTCTGGACGCTCCCCTGCCGACATCAAAGCCCTTTGTCGGCAGCCCCGGGAAACCTCATCCCACGAGGAATAACGGGGCTGCCGACAAAGGGCTTTGATGTCGGCAGGGGAGCGTCCAGACTAGCGCGCTGAGCAGACATACAGCTGATCAGCTGTTTGTCGGCTCAGCGCAGCAGCCATGTAAATTTAAATGAAGCAGCGATCATTTAAATCGCGGCTTCATTTGCCTTTTTAAAACAACAAATCTACATGCCTCTGACGACAGAGGCGTGTAGTTTAGACGTACCCTAGGGGTTATAGTGGACCACAAGTTGCCCTTCTAGCATTTCAGAATGAATGTATCAACGGGTACGTCTAGACTACAGGCTTTGGTCGACAGAGACTTTGTCGACAAAGAGCATCTAGATCAGTGGCCCTAATGCATTGCCTGCAGACGCCATGGCCCCCGCCATGGCATTTATGTGTCCCTGCCTAGGCTGTGTCCAGACTCCATGCCTCCGTCGACGGAGGCATGGAGTCTGGACACAGCCCTAGTGACCAGGGACAGCCCGAGCCATTCTTGTGCTCCGGGCCCTGGGTGCCCAGCGCATTCACAGACCCCGCCCTGGGCATGCAACACATGTGCAGTGCTGCCCCCAGGCACCCAGCAGCCCCAAAAGGTTGGGGACCACTGATCTAGACAACATCCAGAAATAAAAGCAAGCCGCTTTGTCGACATGAGAGTGTAGACACAAAGGACAGTGTAGATGCAATAACGCCTTCAGTCACCAGAACTCTGTTGACAAAAGACGTTATTCTTCATAGAATGAGGTTTACCGCCGTCGACAAAACTGCCAAGCTCTGTCGACATTATGTCGACAGAACTCGGTGGTAGTGTAGACGCAGGTAGAGTTTTGTTGACAAAACCGTGTAGTCTAGACACACCCAAGGATTGCTCGCTTTCCAGCGGCTGTGGTGAGGCTGACAGGTTTATAGTTCCCTGGATTCTCCTTCTTCCCTTTTTTAAAGATAGGCACTACACTTGGCTCTCAGATTCAGAATATAAGACCATGAGAATGGCGCAGCTGGGTCAAATGGAAGGACCATTTACCCCAATAGCCTGTCTTCAGACAACATCCAATTCCAGATGTCCTAGAAGGAATGAACAGAAGAGGTAATCAAGTGAACAGAAGAGGTACTTATCTAGTGATCCCGTCTCCTATCCCCAACTTGTGGAAAACAGAGATTATGGACAGTAGCATTACGCATCCCGGACATCCACATACAGATTCATCCTCCGTGAATGGATCTAGTATATTCACTTCTCAGTTGTGCAGTTTATTTTTCATGCTGGGAGTTTTATTGCTTGTAAAAATTTCAGAACAAAATAACTTTTATTTTTCTCTCTCTCTCTCTGTTTTAGACTAAATTTCCATTTTGGGGTGTCCTATTAATGATACACCGGTGTCAATCTACTACCTCCCCTCTTAGTGTTGACATAATTGACATGGGTGTATCGTAAATCAGTGGATGAATAGATTGGAAGGTAGGACACATGATAAAGTAGGGAAAAAGCAAGGAAGAGATTTCAGACTTATTGGCTCTGATGCCTCTCCTTTAACAGCAAGGATGTGCTGCTTCTCTTGAGTCATATCTGTATTTTATTGCTCATAATATTTTGGGGAAATATGTTATGCTTAAAAAAGCACACGAGATCGTTTATAAGCGAAAAGGCAGTACGCCGCATTTATTGAGAATACAGCAGTTGCATATGCTTTTCAATCATTCACACACAAACATCATACACACACACAGTTCTGCCAGATGGTGTTATAGTTACCAGTCCAGATTCTGAATTAATCTAGTGGCCAACTAGATCCAACACAGAGGGAGAGCAGGGACTTTGTCGGTCAATCTATCAGATGCTTCTCTGGAGTTGGTGGCAAGACGAAACCAAAGTTCCTTAGCAAACCACCCTGCTTTTATAATCCTTTTCTCTGTTGAAGTCAACGGATTCCGCTGTGTCAACCTGTGACTGGAGTGTTATCTCTTGTTACCAAAACACCTCCAAAGCTCATCCTGAAATCAATCGTCTTTTGGGGGTGCCAGCTCCACTTTAAGGCCATCCATCTGCCAATAATCCAATAACTCCTTATTATGGATACGCACTGGTGGTTATAGTTGGCTTCTTTGATGCAAGGTCATCTAGTCTTCACCCACATTCACCCTTCTTTTTCGGCCATCTGGTTCTGAGCAATAACTTTTACACCTTATCTCAACACATACATGCCACTTTCACACATAAACAATCTTTTAATACAACAGCTATGATCCAGAGGGGCTCTACCTTACATCAGGGTTCATCTTGTTATCATGCCCTGTAAAACTTGACTCTCCTTCCTTTTAGTTTTCCCCTCACTTTCTCCAGTTGTTCTGCAGCTACACTTAGATGACTCTTTTTTATCCCAAACTTTTGTTTATATGCTCCCCAATTAACCTACTGCAGCATTAATTTGAGACTGCCACTGCCAAACCATGCTTCTGCACTTGTTCTACTTGTTAAAGGTATCTTTCCTTTACTTCTTAAGATCTCGTATTTGCCCGTGTCAATGCCGGGGTTTACAAATTCCTCTTCTCACTCCTGCTGCTGATCTTAACCCTCTCCGGGCCAGAGGGAGAGCGGGTCAGAGGGAGAGATGCTAAGCCTCCCTCAGTATTACTCGGCACTACTACTACCGAGGATTCATACACTAAATTTAGATAGTTGACTCGGGGTATTTCCCCAGCCAGACAGCCCCCCTTGTCAAATGTAAATCCCTTGCAGGGTCAGAATGAGAAACACAAAGTTCTCCTCTCGTGCTCAGCCTTACTACGACCAAGGGTGTATGCACCTAGTATCTTCCAGTTTGGAGCGAGGATCGCTAAGTCCTCCTCCTACTGCCCGATCCTACTACGACCAAGGTTATACACACCTGACTCGGGGTATTTCCTAGGCAGACAGCCCCCAGCTGGCCACTAGATTGATCCAGACTCTGGACTGTGTGTGTGTATGGTGTTTGAGTGTGAATGATTGAAAAGCATATGCAACTGTTGTATTCTCCATAAATGCGGCGTACTGCCTTTTCCCCTATACAAGATCTCGTGTGATTCATTTAAGTATAACAAATAAGCAATTTCTCTCTCTCTCTCTCTTTCTTTTTAGCTTCTTTTTTCAATACATCTCTTTCTTTTTTTCCATTTTTTTTTAAATTTCTCCACCGGCATATTCTCAATTCTTGTTTCCCTCTCGACTGTTTTCTTTTTTTCTTTTTCTTATACATCTTTAGGTGGGGTTGCATTCCCATCCCAGTTCTGCTTGTGTACGCCCACAGGACGGCGATGCAATTTCAACTCTCGTCAATGAGATCAGGAACTTGCCGGGGTCGTGTGTTTCAGGGTTTTCAAGGGTGGTTTGCTGCTTGGTTTCATCTGTCAAGTGGTGCAAACTTCTCTTTGAATCTGCTTTGATGGAGGAGAGAGGGATCCACCTTCCTATAGGCCACAGGCTCTTTGGTGTTTGGGTCTGTGCCTTCCAGGGCACGTCTATACTGCATCTGGGTACTGGGATTTTCTGCTGTGGGAGGCGTACCCATGTTATCTTTGATCGAGCTACTGTGCCAAAAATAGCAGTGTAGCACACACAAGCCACCCAATCCCAATCCCATCTGAGATCGTAGGTACGTGCCCTCGTGGTGGCACCAAACAAGTGCCTATGAGTTTGCCCTGTTCACATGGCTAATGTTCTCCTACCAGACTGATCAAAGCTTTGAACATGCCCGTACCCACACTCAGAATCAGACCTTCCAGTGTGTGGTGGAGAGACCCATGGTACCCTTCCGTTGCGATGGAGTGATTTGTATTTCTTCTGCATTTGCTGATATGACACAGATCTAGGTATTCCAACACTCCCCACCCCCCTCCCGGTGAAAAGTCTTTATATACATCTCAGGAGAGTTAGATGGGACATTTCGGTAATTCAGTAGGGCTCCATGCTCTTGGTTCACCTATATTGGAAGCTCGACCTCTTCACGAGATGAGGCTTCCTCAGTTTATTGACAACTTTGTTTTTCCACAGGAGAGATGGGTTACCTACTCCAGTACAGGCAGTCCCCGACTTACGTGGATCCGACTTATGTTGGATCTGCACTTACGAACAGGGCTTTTCTCGCCCCGGAGCTCACGGGCGGCGGGTCACCACTTCTTCCGGTCTCTCTGGTCCGCTGGGGGGGATCCAGCAAAGCCGCCAGACCCCCCCCCCCGCCCGCCCACTCATAAAGCCGCCTAGGCGGCGGCTATGCTTGGGTGTCTCTGGTCTGCTGGTGGGGTCCAGCGGCTTTTCTGGACCCCCCCAGCAGACCAGGGGGACAGGAGCAAAGACCTGTGAGGCTTTGCTCGGGTCTCCCTGGTCTGCTGGGGGGGGGAGGGGGTGCAGCTAGTGCGCCCCCCCCCCAGCAGACCAGGCTTTTGTTGTTGGTCGCCTCAGGTAGAGCAGCTGGGGTGCTGTCGGGTTGGTCCTGTGGGAACCTACCGGGCAGTGCCCCAGCTGTTCTGTCCCAGGCTCCAGATTCAGCAGCTGTTGAAACTGATCAGGCTGATTCCAGGAAGCTGGGGGCAGAGCAACTCTGCCTCCCGCTTCCTGTAGTCAGCCCCTGGTCAGTTTCAGTGGCAGCAGCTGAATCTGGAGCCAGTTCTGACTTACATACAAATTCAACTTAAGAACAAACCTATGGTCCCTATCTTGTACGTAACCCGGGGACTGCCTGTATAAGGAAAAGCACAGCCTGATTGTGTTTACTCCATCGGCATTTTCATTTTCTAGATACATACGATGGAGAAATCGGAAGGAAGGAATCAAACACCTATTGTGGAATTCATCCTCTTAGAGTTTGGTAACGACCCTGAACTGCAGCCCCTCCTCTTCCTGCTCTTCCTACTGATCTACCTTGTGACTTTGGCTGGGAACCTTCTCATCGTGGCACTGGTGGTGGCCAATCAGCACCTTCACACCCCCATGTACTTCTTCCTGGGGAACCTGTCCTGCCTGGAGATCTGCTACAGCACCACCTTCCTGCCCCGGCTGCTGACCAGTCTCCTGACAGAAGACAGAAGCATTTCAATTAAGGGCTGCATCATGCAATTATATTTCTTTGGTGTCATATCAACTGTAGAAAATCTGCTCCTCGCGGTCATGTCTTACGACCGGTATCTAGCCATCTGCCAACCCCTCCGCTATGCTGCTCTGATGAACGACCGGGTGTGTGGCCAGCTAGTGGCAGGGGCCTGGATAAGTAGCTTTCTGAGCTGCACCATAGTAATTATTTTCGTGTGGCAATTAACGTTCTGTGATTCCAAAGAAATTGATCATTTCTTTTGTGATTTTTCACCCATCCTAAAACTGTCCTGTGATGACACCCTGATTCTGCAGCTGCTGGCATTTACTCTCGCTGCTGTTGGGTCACTTGTGCCCTGTCTACTGACCCTGACGTCCTACGTGTGTATCATCACCACCATCCTGAGGATCCCGTCCAGCTCCGGGAGGCAAAAGGCCTTTTCCACCTGCTCCTCCCACCTCATTGTGGTGACAATTTACTACGGGACTGTGATCACTGTCTATGTGGTTCCAACAGCCACCACTCTTAAAATCCTTCATAAAATATTCTCTGTCTTCTACACCGTCCTGACTCCAATGATCAACCCCGTCATCTACTGCTTGAGAAACAAGGAGGTCAAGGAGTGCTTGAGAAGAGCTGTCCATAAATTAGTTGCTATCAGAAACGGGCAATGGAATCTGACAATTTTCAGTATATACTAAAATAGAGATAATCTTGTATAGTTTCTTAGGCTGTCTCTACACTGCAAAGAAAAGTCGGAAAAAGATATGCAAATTGGGAACCACAATTTGCATATCGTTTTCTGTTTTTCTTCCAAAAGATGCTTTTCCAACATTTGGCCCGTCTACACAGGTACAAATGTTGGAAAAAAACAGTCTTTCAGAACATCCCTTCTTCCACTTAAAACAAGGTTTTTCCAGGGATGCCAGAAAAACATGTCCACTTTTTTGAAAAGCTCTGTAGTCCGGATGTATCCTTAGGTATGGTTCATCTGTATCCTTGAGAGAGAGAGAGAGAGAGAGAGAAAGATATTCTTGCTTTTTTGCTTGCTTGCTTGCTTCATTTCTTGCATTCTACAGCATTTGATATGGTTAGAAATGCTCTTTTTCAAAACAGGGCTTTTTTCCAGACATGTGGTTCAGTAAAATACTCTTCTCATGAACGCTACTGATCAAATTCTACAAAGAGTTTAATGTCTTTTGAGCCGTTTTGGGTTTCTTCCACCCCCACTGAATTCACCCAGGGTTTGGATTCTCTGTTCTCGATTACACCTCCTAGATGCAGATGAAAAGTGTTGCCACCAGACCGAATGGATAACTTTGAGTAGTATTCGGTGTAGATCTGTGAGGGTATGCCTACACTTGCATCCTCTTTCCAGACAGGGATGCAAATGAAGACATTTGAAATTGCAAATGAAGCCGGGATTTAAATATCCCATGCTTCATTTGCATAGTTGCGTTATGGCGCTATTTCGAAATAGCGCTATTTTGATATAACAGATGCTGTTAAGAGGTGGTTATTTTGAGAGAAAACCCTTCAGTACAGATGTGTGGGGACATATGAGAGTTAAATAAAGTTGGGGTATATAAGAGTGAACTAAAGCCTTGGGTTAACATTACCATAGTGTAGGACAGGTTGGCGTAAGGCAGGCATTTTTTCATTTTGGTGGGCAAGCGTTATTTCTTTTGCATGATGGATCAAGTTTGCGTCCCCTCCCTTCCCGCTTGTTAAGGTAGATAAGACTGTGCAGCAGTATGAGGAATTTAAATTTTGAATGAAATCTTGATGTCTAAACGCAGTATTATCCTCCCCTCCCTTCCTCTTCCCAGCTACAAAAAACATGTTCAGAGTGAATGTTCCTTCTCCTTCCCACCCCAGTAAGTGACTGACTGAGGAACATTATGCTGCAAAATTTGGATGGGTAAAATTGCTGTAAACAGGGGTGGGTATAACTATATTCATCATATGGCTTTTCCTATTCATTCTATTGATATTCATACTACTAAAGAAGGATTTGGGGGGAGTTGCAGCAGTTGGGAGTATTGACATACTAACTTTGAGAGAAGAGCGTGAGGCAGTTAACTTGGTCATCGCTCCAATGGGTGGGTTCAAGTTGGATGGAATAAATGCAATAAAGGAGCCCGTCGACTCCATCCACCTCTGAGTCCTCCTGCATGGTCCTTTCTAGGAATCGTACAATCCTAGAGCACTATGATGGGAAGGGACCTCCAGAGGTCATCCAGTCCAGTCCCCTGCCCTCACGGCAGGACCAAGCACCATCTAGATCATCCCCGACCGATAGGTGTCTGTCTAATCTGCTCTTACATATCTCCAGGGATGGAGATTCCACAACTCCCTGGGCAATTTATTCCAGTGTTTCACCACCCTGACAGTTAGGAACTTTTTCCTCATGTCCAACCTAAACCTCCCTTGCTGCAGTTTAAGCCCATTGCTTCTTGTTCTATCCTCAGAGGCCAAGGAGAACAATTTTTCTCCCTCCTTGTGACACCCTTTCAGATACTTGAAAACCACTCTCATGTTCCCTCTCAGTCTTCTCCTTCCCAAACTAAACAAGCCCAATTCCTTTAGCCTTCCCTCGTAGCTCATGTTCTCCAGACTTTTCATACTTTTTGTTGCTCTTCTCTGGACCTTCTCCCATTTCTCCACATCTTTCTTGAAATGTGGTGCCCAGAACTGGACACAAGACTCCAACTGAGGCCTAATCAGTGCAGAGTAGAGCAAAAGAATGACTTCTCGTGTCTTGTTCACAACACTCCTGTGAATGCAGCCCAGAATCATGTTTGCTTTTTTAGCAACAGTGTCACACTATTGACTCATATTCAGCTTGTGGTCCCCTTTGACCTCTAGATCCCTTTCTGTCGTACTCCTTCCTAGACAGTCGCTTCCCATTCTGTATGTGAGACACTTAAGGGGACCATCAGCCCTGTTTTTAACGGGACGTTTCCTTATTTAGGTCCTTTTACCGGGGTCGCACCTTTTCTTTTTTCAAAAAAATAGGCAAATTGTCCCATATTTTGTGCTCCTACCCTCCCCCTGCTGGTCGGCCCAGCCGCAGCGGCCTCCGGTGTGTGGCTGGAAGGTGGGTGTGGCAGGCAGTGGCCAGCAGGTGGTGCTCTCAGGCAGGGCACAAAAACAGCAAGTCGCCAGTGTAGTCATGGCGGGGCGAGGGGGTGAGGATGAATGAGGGGGAGTGTTACCCCTTCCACTGCAAATCACAAAGCAGGGTATCTCAAGGGGAAGGTTACACCAGCCTTTTCCAGTCACAGAGCTAAGGCTGGAACCCCAGCTCCTGCAGTGGGGCTGGAATTTTGATCCTGAGCAGCACCTCCCACACTGAATTCTCAGCACCCCACAGACTGTAGCCCTGATCCATGGTGCCCCCCTGAATTCCCAGCAACCCCCAGGCTGCAGCTCCGATCTGCAGCATACCCCTCCTCTAGGGACTGAAGCCCCAAGCTTTGGAAACCCCAGTGGGGCTGAAAGCAGGAGGTAAGTTGCTCTGCTGGGGTATGTCTAGACTACAGGGTTTTGTTGACAGAAGTTAAAGCTTCTGTCGACAAAGAGCGTCTAGACGACATCCAGTTCTGTCGACAAAGCAAGCCGCTTTGTCGACATGACAGTGTGGATGCAAAGGACAGTGAAGATGTAATAATGCCTTCTATCGACAGAACTCTGTTGACAAAAGGCGTTATTCCTCGTAGAATGAGGTTTACATACATCGACAAAACTGCTGAGTTTTGTCGACGTTATGTCGACATAACTCAAAGGCAGTGTGGACACAGGTATAGTTTTGTTGACAAAAGTCCACTTTTGTCGACAAAACCCTGTAGTCTAGACACACCCCGGAAGTCCTGGTACTCCCCAAATTGTACGCCCCCCCCCACCCACACTGAAGATAGGAGCAGCAGGGCTGAATCCTGGATCCCTGGTGCTTTGCAGAGTACATTTTGGGGAACCCTGGTCGACATGATGGCACTACAGCTAAACCAGAGCTGACCTGACCAACCCCCATACTTAGACACAGCCTTCCCTGACTGGAAGCCTTCTGGCCACAGGGCTGTAGCTTGGTTGGCATAACTATTGCTTCCTGGTTGCGTTTCAGGATAGATCAAGCCTCTGGTCACATGATCAGTCTGACTTTGGAAAGTCACCTGTCTATGGGGATGGGAGGTTGTAAACCCGAGAATGGACTGAAATCCACTTCCCTCTTTCCCCTCTCATAACCGCCACCTCAACCCTCACGTTGCCGGAGGAGCCCCTCACTCTTTCAACGATGACCAAAATGATCGGAGAAAGGAGGAATCCCCAAAGGATCCTACAGCCCTTAGCTGCGTGAATGCTGGAAAAGTGTCGGATTAGCAGCGGGTCTGCAGCTTCCCTCAAAAGGGAGCCCAGACAGGTGCATGAGAGGTTTCAGTGATACTTGAGTTCCATGTCACATCCAAGGAAACCCATCCCTCGTGGGCTATAGAAAAGCAGGCCTAAGAAAGAGCAGGGAATGTCCCTCAAAATTAGAACATGAGAATGGTCAAACTGGGTGAAACCAAGGGTCCATCTAGCTCAAAATCCTGTCCCTTAGGTTGTGTTTAAACAGTGACAACCAATGTCAAACAAGAGGTGGAAACTTTAGTCATATGTTAGCTTAAGGCTTTTCTTAACCTGTGTTTTGAGTTCTAGATCCAGAAATCAGACTGACCTAGGAGTTTTATCCAAGCATTTTTTAAACTTGGGAGCATTTCATTGTCTTCTTACTACAAAATAGAATTGGCATTGGTTCTGTTCTTCTGTTATTTTAGCGGATCCACTCAGCTGTTTCATGCAAGGAACAGAGATTTCAATTGAGAGCAAATGTTCTGTCGGAATTGGTTTCCTTTGTAACGGGATATTCCCTTTTTTCTCTTTCTTTGGCTAGGTCTATGCTGCAATGTTAAATCGGAAAAAGAAACGCAATTTGCGGTATGCAAATTGTGTATCTTTTTCCGATTTCTTTGGCTTTCCAATTTATTTATACACGGCACCAAATGTCAAAAGAAAGTGTTCTTTTGACACATCCCTTAGTCCTCGTAAGCATCTGCATTTCCGTTGCAGTAATACCTGATTCATTCTCACCAAGCAAGGCGCTTGCTGTCCAGAGAGTTGTTTGTAAAGGGCCTATTCAGGCTAATGAGGCATTAGGGAAAACATTCGTCCTTAGGAGAAACTTATCTGCCACCCGGTGAGCCTGGTTGTTGTGACTCTCCAAGGGCAGTGGACCAAGTTCTAGATGCCACCTGTGGTTTTCCACACCCTGGTCTGGGAGCCATGGTTTGAGACAAAGGCGCCCCAAGCTAGGCTTCATCTATTTAAGGCAGGGAGTGATCTCATTGGTTCTTCTTCATTCCCCAGGCAAGAGGGCTCTTACAAAGACCCAAGGAACAAAGATTGACCTGGCAGGAAGAAGTGCTGGACCCAGGCAAAAGGGATTTCTACCCTGTGCATGGAAATCTAAGAGATCCAAGCAGCAAAGCAAATGCAGTGAGTGCCTTGAGAATCTGCCAGTTTCCTGGTATCATCCATCAGGGTGAGAAACTGCTTGTGCATTGTCAGTCTAAACAAAGCGTTACGCTTTCTTTGCATTTTTGTGCATTTCCCAGTAATCTTCTCGGAGCAGTTTGCTACCACTTATACTCGCTTAAAATCT